AAAATACATAAAAATGATAAATTCTAGTCATGGCTCACATTGGAAATGCACCCCAGAAGCACCGTGGCTTCTCACAGCAGGGCAGGGGCAGCCCTAGTGGGGAGGAGCAGACTTCGGGGTCACTGGGTGTCCCAGGCTCCGCCTCTCCCCGGGGCAGGGCTGCAGGCAATGGCTGTGTGTCAGGGTGTGTGTGTGTCAGGGTGTGTTGGTCTCTGCCTTGTAGACCAGAGCTGATAATCGGACACCTACGGGAGCTTGAGCAGGTGCTCCAGCAGCACGGTCTGTCGTTGCCTTTGTCCCTGAGGATCGCTGACAGATGCTTAGGGACCCATTGTAGGTGACAAGCTGCTTAAACACAGGGCCTGGTTTTATGTTTCCTTAGAACTGTACCTCTCTATTTTTTTTTGAGGTTTTCGGACAGGGTCTTGCTATGTAGTCTAGGCTAGCCTGGAACTCACTATGTAGCCCAAGCTGGCCTGGAACTCACAGAGATCGTCCTGCCTCAGCTTCCTGAGTGTTTGGATCACAGGCGTATGCCACCACACCTGGCTTCCCGTAGGCCTGGGCTTTGTCCTCTCCTCCCTTCCTCCTGACTTCCTCATTCCTGCCTCAGCGTCCTGGCCGGGAATCCTGCTCTGGTCCCCTGCCTTGGCCCCTGCAGGGCTCAGCTGCGCCGCTGGGTGAGTTTCCCGGCGTTACCGGGCCTGTGTGTGCACGCGCGTGTGTGTTTCCCACACTGCAGACACAGGTGCAATGCAGGAAGAAAGATGACCTGCTGGGGCCACAGGCTCCTGTCTCTTTCTGTCTACCCTTACGTGTGCGGCATCGAAGCGCGACACTGGGGCCGAGCGTGGGACTGCGGGCGGCCGGGGTTCGGGGCGCGCAGCCGGCTCTCCGTGCCGGGCCTTACATGCGCGCCAGGGCTTCCTGCAGTCGCTCCACGGCGGCGCCCAGCACGCTGTTCCACTTCAGAATTTCCGATCTGGAGTAGGGGCGCTGAAAGAGCCAACCTGGAAAAAGAAGACGCGGCTGAACCCCTCCGTACCCCGCGTGCCCAGGTGACAGCCACGCTGCGCCGCGGTCCGGGCCGAGGCCTGGGCTGCACCGCCAGCGTCGCCCCAAAGTCCCAGGCAGCCGTGAGCCGCCACCTAGGCGCACAGCGCGGGGAGGCCAGAGTCACTTCCTGCGGAGCAGGGACCGCGGACGCGGCTTAACGCAGAACGCGGCCGCGTGGAGCGGGCCAGGGCGGAGCCCGCGGTCCTTCGTCCCACTCCTGCTGGGCCTCGCTCCCGCCCAGCCTCGCTCCTGGGCTTTGGCCCCCAGGACGCACACAGAGAACTACCGCGCTGCCTAGGCTCCCACCAAAGGAGTCCCAACGTAAGAGTTCAGTTATTTTGCTTAAAGGAGGCGATCGGAAAAAATAAATAAATAAATAAAAGCAACTTGGGGCTGGGGATTTAGCTCAGCGGCACAGCGCCTGCCTGGCAAGCTCAAGGTCGTGAGTTCGATTCCCGGTACCGGGAAAAAAAAATAAAACAAAATAAAGTAAAAAATAAATAAATAAATAAAATAAAGGAGGCGATCGGGGCTGCCTAAGATAGAATCAGATTCAAGAAAATAGCACACACCGAGTTAAGAGCTAACGCAGGCGTAGTTAAGCTTAGACATGTAAAAGGAGACGCAAGAAAAAAAGATAAAAGGTTAGACTAAGAATGCAGACGCGAGGACGGCTCCTCCCAGGAAGCAGGGTGCTAGGCAGAGGGTGGTGAGTCAGTTGGCTGGTCTACCTCTGGACTTAAGAAACATTAAAAATGCAAAACAACCGGTTTCCTGTGAACTTGTTTTCTTTGAACTGATCTGTTCTCCGTGCTCTACTTATTCATGTACGAGCAGGTCAAAGAAAACAGTTTGGTCGGGCGCGGTGCTGCACCCCTGTAATCCCAGTACTTGGGAGGCTGAGGCAGGAGGATTACAAGTTTGAGGCCAGCCTGGACTACACAGGAAGACCCTGTCTCAAAAAAATCAAACCAAACAAACAATAATAACAACAACAAAAACAGTTTGGACTTTTAAAAAAAGTTTGTTTTGTTTTGTTTTTGTCTGTTTTTTGAGACAGGGTCTCATTATATAGCTCATGCTGGCCCTCAGCCTCATGGCATTCCTCTTTTTTTTTTTTTTTTTTATGGCATTCCTCCTGCCTCAGCTTCCTGAGTGCTGAGATTACAAGCATGCGCCACCACACTAGGCTGGAAATCCATTTGGAATCCCCTCCTGGTGACAGGAGCTACTCCTCCTTTTTATTATTTCCAATAAATACTCCCAACTTTCTCCTGTTGTCCGTGACTTCATTCTTCAACTTCAGGAGACTAGGAGCTCTCTTTGTACAGAATGAACTGTCTGTCTCACACCCACACATTCCCTTTGGTGTGTGACCACTATCCTGGCTTCCTTGGGACCGGCTAAGGGCCTCAGGTGCCCAGCCTCCCAGTGGGGGACCAAGTCCCATCCGAGTCTCTCTCTTGCCCGCAGACGGCCTCATCTGAACTGGACGTGCCACGCCGCCTCTCTGGGCACCTTCTGCACTCCCACGGCCACTTGCTGTCTTGCCCCGCTTCCTGGGTTGTTCTTACCTTGAGCACCTGAGTCTGTTTCCTGGCCCATCCCAGGAGGCACGTGTCCGTCCCACATTCCCATCTCTCCATGCGTGTGATTCTGGCGCATACCCAGGGGACAGGGAGGTATGCGGGGGACACCTGGCACCTAAGCGTATTCTCCAAATCAAGACTAGTTCAACAGTTCTTGCCGGGTGTAGGAGCGCATGACTATAACCTCAGTGGTTTGGGAAGCTGAGGCAGGAGGGTTGCAAGTTCAAGGCCAGCCTGGGCAATTTAGCAAGAAGACCCTGTCTCCAAAAAAGGATGGGGCTCTGGGGCTCTGTGACCTCTCATGTTTTGTTTTTTTTTTTTTTTGGTTTTTTGGTTTTTCTCCGGTACCGGGAACCGAACTCACGACCTTGCGCTTGCCAGGCAGGCGCTTTTGCCGCGGAGCTAAATCCCCAGCCCCGACCTCTCATGTTTGAAGCCCTGAGTTCAAATCCCAAACTCAGGCCCTGGAAGTGACCACAGCTCACTCTGCTGCTGATCAGCACAGACCATGCTTCGGAGAGGTGAAGGAGCTCACCGTTTTCTAGACAGATCTGGGACGACGTCAAGAAGTGGATGACATCCAGGGAGCTGTTCTCCAGATGGGCATCATGGTCGTGGCTGGCGAGAGCTAGAAAAAAGGAAGAGTGAGAGGTAGACAGAGGGAGGAAGAAGACGTTTCGCTGGTGCGTCATCAACAGAAAACCAAACGGTCAGTGTTTAATTTTGTTGTTGTTTTGGAGACAGGGTCTTGCTTGGTAGCCCAGGCTGGCCTCAAACTCATGGCAATCCTCCTGCCTCAGCCTCCTGAGTGCTGGAATTACAGAAGTGTGCCACCACACCTGGCTGTGTTAATATCCTCACAGGGCCTGGACAAAGATTTCATAAACACCAATAACGACCCTCCAAATAGTCCCATAATTTGTTCTGGCAGCACCTTGGCTTTTTGAATGGAAGACTCTTTTGCATAGCCTCCTGATTTATGAAATGGTGTTTCACTTACTCTCTGTCCTAAGAGCTGCCCTCCCACAGGAAAGTGGGTGACAGGAGCTCATGGTTCATTTCCCTTCCTTCTGTAGCAATGGGGAACAGTCAGAAGCCTGCTGGTGCTTAACAAAAGGCTATCACGGGAAGACTGCGGTAAGTCAGGGCCCGGGCTGGGCGGCCAAAGGAGTTCCGGGTCAGCTTGGACAACACAGCAAGACCCAGGTTCAAGCCCCACCAAAAGTAAGTATGCGACTGTCTTTCTGTTTCTGTCCGACCTTATTGTAGCAAGATAAACTTGGACACACTTGAGGCAGAAGCTTCATAATATAATTTAGCATTATGATAATTAGTAATTTACTAGAACACCCAATAGATGCCTTATTTAATGGAAAACACTATCCTTCCTGCATTTTTCTCCTCGTATCCATTAATTACTTGTTAGAGGAATTAACACACACCCAGTAATACTAATATAGAGCTTTGTCAGTATCTAACTTCCCTGCAATTTTTATTCCTTTATCCCAAAGTGTTATTTGTAAAGCTCACCAGTAACTTCTACTTACGTAATTTTTTCACGGATTTACTTGCTGAAATGCGGGCCTCTTGTTTTGCCGTAGCCAGCTGACCTGCCTTATGACTGTCTTCCCTGGAGTCGCTGCTGGCTTTGCATTGCTTGAGGTCCCCGCGGGCCGCGGGCCACCCTTGCTTGCAGTGTGCACCGTGCTCTGGGGTGCCCGCCGCGAGGTCTGGCCAGCTGTCGTTCACCAGGTTGATGAGGCCCACGGGCAGCGGGACACTGCGCTCCGCATAGGTCTGCAGCATCTTCTCCAGCTCGCCTAGCGTTTCAGGAGCAACGCGCTTGTACTCTTCAAACAGGCACTTTTGCAAATGTATTTTGGAGAGTTTGAGGCTCGGTGGAACCCTGAGCAGACTGGGAGGCTCTGAGGTGATGTGGGGGCAGAGCTCGTGTTTCTCACAGGAAGCTGCGATGGTTACTTCGGCTTGCTTCAGTCCTTCCAGATTTTTCTTTTTATGACTGAAAACAACATATGTGAGCATTGGAGATAGTTCACATTCTTCAAACTTGTCATTTTGTTTGGTTTTCTTGTTTTCAGAAAGGTTCTCATTGTGTGGTTCAGGCTGGCCTTGAACTCCTGGAGTCCCTCTTGCCTTGACCTCCCAAGTGTTGGTATTACAACCATATACCGTTTGCCTGGCTCTAGAAATCCGTTCAAAATGTGATCAATAAGATCTGGGCAGTGGGTGGTGCACGCCTCTAATCCCAGCACTCGGGAGGCTGGGGCAGGAGGATTTCTGTGAGTTCAAGGCCACCCTGGGCTAGATAGTGAGACTTTGTCTCAAAAAACTAAAACAAACAGTTACAACAAAATGATTCAGAGCCTTGAGCATGCTAAGCAAATGCTGTATCACTGGACTATATTCCCAGCCCCTGAATTTCTTATGGGAGTCTACAAACACATTCTATTTTCTTGTTGCCTATTGTACATATTCCTATCAGATGTTACTATTTTTTTTTGAAGGGGACAAGGTCTCATTTTTTTTGGTAGGTGAGACAGGGTCTCACTAGTTCAGGCTGGCCTTGAACTCACTAGGCAGCCCAGGATGGTCTCAAACTCTTGGCAATCCTCCTGCCTCAGCCTCCTGAGTGCTGGGTTACAAGCATGCACCACCACACCTGGCTTCAGCTGTTACTCTTATACTAAAATTCTAAAGCAGACAACAGAAATAGACCCACAAAGGTATTGCAGATATTGGAAATTTTAGCCATAGTATATACATATATAGATGTGTGTATATTTACGAAAGTACCAGAGATTGAACCCAGGGTATTTGCACTTCACTAAAACCTCAGCTCTTTTTAAAAATTTATTTTGACTCTGGGTGTGGTGGCGCATGCCTGTAATCCCAGCACTCAGGAGGCTGAGGCAGGAGAATCACTGTGAGTTTGAGGCCCACCTGGGCTACAAAGTGAGTTCAAGGCCAGCCTGAACTGCATAATGAAACCCTGTCGCAAAAAGACAAAAAAAATCATTTTGGGTACTTTAGCGGGGCCGGAAGAGGGTGTTCCTTTTTGGACATCACCAACTAGAGACAGAAGGAGAAAAAAAAATCCCAGCAGCTGCCATTGATGTTGGGTTTGGAGACAGCATCTGACTTAGTCACAAGGAAGGTGGATTCAGTTTGCATCTCTCCCTCTTTTTAGCAGCTCCTCCAGGTCTCAGCAGGAGCATTTTCTGCTAGCAGAGACCTAATGGCTAAAAGCTGCATACAATAAACACTTAATCCAAAAAAGAAAATCATAGTCTAAAAGGGTGGAAAACAATAGTCCATGCAAGCCGGGCATAGTGGCGCATGCCTGTAATCCCAGCACTTGGGAGGCTGAGGCAAGAGGATCATTGTGAGTTTGAGACCAGCCTGGGTTACAAAGTGAGCTCAAGGCCAGCCTGTAGCAAGACCCTGTCTCGAAAAGACCAAAAAAAAAAAAAAAACCAAACCTCCCCGCTCCAAATAAACAATAGTCCATGCAACCAGAACCCAGAAAAAAAAAAAAAATCGAGAGTAGTTATGCTAATTTAAGACACAGTGGACTTCAGGCCAAAACTGATCAGTAGAGGCAAAGAAGGCTGCAATATACTGATCAAGGCAACAATTAAACAAGAGTAGGTAACAATAATAAATGTATATGCACCAAACACTAGCCCTCCCAACATCATGAAAGAAACACTACTGGACATAAAAGATCAGATTAAAAAAATCAGATAAATATCACCACACTTATTGAGGATGACCTTAGTAGCCTGCTTTCACAAATAGACAGATCAACTAGACAAAAAATGACAAATATGAGAGTTGAATCAAACCTTCAAGTAGATGGACTTAATAGATATCTAAAGAGTGTTCCACCCAACAAAGGAATAAACAGTCTTTTCAGCAGCATGTGGGGCTTTCTCCAAAGCAGACCACACTATCTCATAACGCATGCTTCAGTAAATGCAAAAGAATCGAAATTGTCTCATGTGTATTATCAGATCATAGTGCAATTCTCTTGGGCTGGGGATTTAGCTCAGCAGCAAAAGCGCCTGCCTGGCAAGTGCAAGGTCGTGAGTTCGGTTCCTGGTACCAGAGAAAACAAACAAACAAACAAAAACACATAGTGCAATTCTCTTACCATGTACTAAAACAAGATCAAAATAGATCAAAGATCTAAATATTAACACAGAAACATGTAAACTCAAGACTAGATAAAATTCTTCAAGACTTTGGCATAGGCAAGGACTTTCTAAACAGAACCCCAACTGTAAAAGAAATAAGATCAAGAATCAACAAATGGGGTGATATCAAATTAAAAAGCTTCTGCACAGCAAAGGAAACAACCAACAGAGTGAAGAAACAACCTACAGAATGGGGAAAAAATTTTGGCAAATCACGCCTAGACAGCACTATTACCTAGAATATACAAAGAACTAAAAAGAAAAAAAAAAAAAGACCTTCCAAAATGAAAGACCCAAAAAAATGGGCAACAAAAATGAATTCTTAGAAGAAGTACAAAAGGCCAATAAATATATGAAAAAATGTCCAACACCTTTGGACATTAGAGAAATGCAAATTAAAACAACACTGAGATTCCATCTTACTCTAGAAAGAATGGTCATCACCAAGAAACCAGATAATAACAAATGCTGGTAAAGCTTCAGAAGAAAGGGAATCCTTCCACATCATTGGCAGGAATAAAAACTAGTACAGCCCCTATGGAAACCAGTATGGAGATTCCTCAAGAAAACAGAACTAGAAATTCCATTTGACACAGCTATTTCCCTTCTAGGTATCTTCCTGAGAAAGTTAAAGACTTCATATTACATGGAAACCTGAATACCTGTCTTTGTACAACTCATAATAGCTAAATCTTGGAAGCGGCCTGTATATCCATCAACAGATGAATGGATGAAGAAAATGTGGTATTTGCACACAGTAGAGTATTACTCTGCCATAAACAAGGATAAACTTGTGTCATTTGTAGGAAAATGGATTCATCTTGAGGCCTCAATGTTAAGTGAAATAAATTAGACACACAAGCTTAAGTATCTCATGGTTATTCTTATATGAGAAACCCAAAGTATAAATAAATTAAAAGGCAAAATAAAAGAAAGATAATAGAAAACAGGAAGATAGATATTTGCAAATGAGGAGGGGATCAAGAGGTGGAAGGCACGGAGGGCAGTGGGAACTTCTGCATGTACCAAATCGCCACAGTGAATATAATCATGCAAACATGTACTAATGAAAAAATCTCGATGAGGCCAGACATGGTGTCACATACCTATAATCTCAGCACTTGTGCTGAGGCAGGAGGATTGCCATGAGTTCAAGGCCAGCCTGGACTACACTGCCAGCCCCTGTCTCCAAAAACCAACAAAACAACGAAAACAAAAATAATTTTAATGACACTGAATCAATAATAAAAAGTGTCATATTTCTGGGTATGGTGGCACCAGCCTGCAATCTTAGCTATTCAGGAGGCTGAGGCAGGAGGATGGCAACTTAGTAAGACACTGTTGAAAAGATAACAAAAAAGCTACACAGGCTTACAGATCACACGGTTTCTCTTATGTGAGAATCCCAAAGCATAAATAATTAAAGAGCAAACTAAATGATAATGGGAAAAAATACAAACAAACAAACGAAAAAAGAAGGTTGGGACTGTAGCTCACTGATCCTGGGTTTAATCCTCAGTTGATGGTGGGCAGCTTCTCACTGACAGAAAGTCCAGGACCAGATGGCTTCACTAAACATTTTAAGAAGAACTAACACCAACTGTTCTTAAATTAGCCCAAAATAATTCAAGAGGAGGGACTTATTCTAAACTTGTGTTGTGAGGCTAACCGTACTCTGATGCCAAATTTGGTTGTTTTTTCGTTTGTTTGTTTTTCTTTTTTGAGACAGGGTCTTGCTATGCAGTTCAGGCCGGCCTTGAGCTCACTTTGTAGCCCAGGCTAGTATAGAACTCACAACAATCCTCCTGCCTCAGCCTCCCGAGTGCTGGGGTTACAGGCGTGTGCCACCACACCCGGCATTCTGATGCCAAATTTGGACAACAACCCGACACAACAAAGCAAGCAAGCTACAGACCAATATCCTTGATAAGCGTACACACAAAACCCTCAATAAATTACTAGTGAACAAAATCTAAGAGCACATGAAAAACATCACCATGGTCACGCAGGACTCATCCCAGGGTTGCAAGGATGGTTCCCCAAATATAAACCCACGAGCCTGATGATGCTGTAGGCAGCTGAGTTAGAAATACTATAGGCACTCAGACAGGGCTGGGCCCTCAAGGGAGCCAGTATGGAAGACAAGATACTCTGCGGCTGTGGGAGAGACAGGCACTTCTGCTGCGGGCCAAACCTCAAGACAAAAAATGGGACAAACGCACCTACATACCTCCCTAGGGACGGACATCAGGGATTGATATTCTAAATAGGCATGCATCACCCTGAAAAAGCCGGGAAGAGTCACTAGCCCAAGCCCCTACAGGAAAAGCACCTGTTCTGTATTCATACCTGCCTGTTACGTGCCTGGCTTCCCCATTTGATCCCAATTTAATCAATTCTACCTGAGCAATTATACTTGTAATCTTATTGGCTGGCCGTTCTTTTGTCCCACCTCATGCCCGCATTGGGAGTTCCCACGGTTCCTTGGACCCCCCTCGCGTCATGGATTTGCTCTATAAAAGTGCCTAGAAAAAGCAGGTTCCTTGGCAACCCACTCTGGCTCCCTTCTGTCTCTCTTTCTCTTGGACTGAAGCTTTCTTTTCCCCAATAAATATATTCTGTTCTTAACCTCCGTTGTCCCTAAAATTCATTCTTCGATTTTAAAGCACACAAACTCGTCCCAGATACCTTTCAAGTTGGAAGTTTCTTCCCCCCATATCAATGACTATATCAACAGAAGAAAGGACAAAAACCATGTTTCCGCCTCCTAAGAGCAGAGAAGGCATTTGGTAACACTGCGCATCCCTTCGTGAGAAAACCCTGCACACATTAGCCATAGAAGGCACACAGCTCAACATAACACAGGCCTTAGGACGGGAGCACAAAACGAACATCATACTGAGTGGAGACAAGCTGAAGGCTTTCTCACTAAGTCCTGGAACAAAACAAGGGCGTCCACTTTTACATTATTCAAAGTGGTTTTGGAAGACCCCGCCAAGGCAACCAGGCAAATTTACTTAACACAGTACTGGGAGTCCAAGCCGGAGTAATCAGGCAAGACAAAGAAACCAAAGAACATCCACATGGGAAAGGGGAAGCCAAGCGGCCCCTGTGTAGTTGTGAGAGTACGGACAGGGCAGCATGGCGGGACGCGGAGGGACTTGCAAACTGATGGTCAAGGAGGCCGGAGGCAGCCCGGCATGGTGGCGCAGGCCTGTAATCCTAGCACTCGGGAGGCTGAGGCAGGAGGATCGCGGTGAGTTCGAGACCAGCCTGGGTTACAAAGTGAGCTCAAGGCCAGCCTGAACTGCATAGCGAGAGCCTGTCTCAATAAGGGGGGGGGGGGCATAGATTACTGTAAACCAGGATTTCTCATCCTGATGGATTGCGTCAATCTTAGACACATCCTACATGTTCTAAGACGGTGCCATCGCCTGAATATGACCTGGTCCCCCCAACCCGAAGGTTTCACGGTAAAAGCTTAGCTCCCAGATTGGGCTATACAGAAGTCGCAGAACCTTTAAGAGGTGGGAGCTACGCCGAAGTCCTGGGATCTAGGGCTGCACCTGGCGGTTCTCACGAAACCTCGTGAGTTCTCGCGAGAGCTTTATTATAAAAAGAGCAAACCCTGGCTCCTCCCTTTTTTTTCTGAGTTTGAGTTGCAGTCTCCCTCTTGCTATCCTGAATGATATGGTACAGCTCAGAAATGAGTCCGTGCCAGAACCAAGCCCTGGAAGCTCCAAAACTGTGAAGGAAACAAACTTCTCTATAAGGGGAGCTGCCTCAAGTATTTCTGTGGAGTAATTGAAAGCACGCTAATAGAGGGGGACAAGGGGTGTGGCTGAGAAGTACAGCTCTCACCTAGCAGGTGCAAGGCCCCGGGTCCAGTCCTCGGCACTGAAAAAAGAAAAACAGACATGTTGGTGTATTTTTATTTCCACTCCACAAGTAAAGAAATTGTAGCAAATAGCTGAGCATGGTGACGCACGCCTATAACCCCGGGCTCAGGAGGCTGAGGCAGGGGCATCGGTGTGAGTGCAAGGCCAGCCTAGGCAACAGTGAGTTCAGGGCCGGCCTGAAGTACACAGCGAGACTTTGTCTCAGAAAAAAAAAAAAAAAAAAAAAATTGTAAACGGTGGGGAAAAAATAGAATGACTAGTTCCATTATTTCATTTATCTTTATGAGCCTGACACATTCCGTGGCTGGTAACCACAACGCTTTATTAGGCATGTTGTATACACCACGCTGTTTCCAAGACAGGATAGAGACATGATCAAGCATATTAAAAATTCTGTCCTTAGCCGGGCATGGTGGCGCACGCCTGTAATCCCAGCACTCGAGAGGCTGAGGCAGAAGGATCGTTGTGAGTTCGAGACCAGCCTGGGCTACAAAGTGAGC